CTCCTCTTGCTGTTGAGCGCATATTCCAACCTCTCTTGTTCAGAGCCAGGTGGAGCTGCCGCATGGTAGGTGAACACAAGGTTAAAGAGAAACATGTCGGTCTTACATTTTCTGATATGGTAAATGAAATTTGTCCCTTTCTTTCCGTTGCCAGTGCATAAAACCAACCAAATCCATATAAAATCTCAGGTTAGGCAGAGTTCTCTAACAGAATTGGAGGTAGTCATCATATATAAACCTATACATAAGAATTTAAGAACATTTTTATTTGCAGAACAGTTCCCTCGGCTTGTCACGATGACATACCACCTGATCAGGGAACACGTATGTCCAGAACAAAGCACCTTAATGTAACTAGATGTGATATTTGTGAAGAACACACTGAAGGCCATAATTAACCCACTTCACCGCATCCTACTGAGGGTGCTGTGTACCATGGGTAATCATCAGTGGTACAGCACTAAGACAAAAAGAAAAGAGCACAAAGGATATTGTGCCATGAGCAGAGGGCACAGCTGGCTGTTGGGCATGAAGACACAATGCATGAGGACAAAATCATCCACTGCTGGGTCTAACAGATGAGAAGGAAAACAGACAGATGGCAAGAGGGAGAGGAAAGAAAAGAAAGAGTGCAAAAGAATCAAAAGGTAGTGAAAATGTCATTTATCATTAACCCTGCCTATCTAGCCATTCTTCTTTAATTACAACACATTTGATGTAGAATCTGGAATATCTCTGATGGCGATCTATTCATAATTCAATTATGTCTAATTGCCTATTCATTTTGTATTATTTATATATTTTTGTCTACCTGGTTCACTGTGATGGATGTCCATTCTCATGGTTTCCAGGAAATGCTCAAGGATTTTCTCCGGTGTTCCTGATATCACAGTGTACCTGCAAAATGCCATATCATCTAATCATCATCTCATTAAAAACAAAGCAGAAATGACTTTGTCTAAGCAGGATTTAGAAAAGTTCATTCATGCTTTTGTTCCAAGTAGGATATACTACAGTAATGCAGTCCTGATTGGTCTCCCCAACAAGACCATCAGACAATTGCAACTCATTCAAAATGCTGCTGCTAAAATACTGACAAACACCAAGAAGAGAGAACACATTACTCTAGTCCTTAAATCTTTGCACTGGCTTCCAGTTAAATGCTGATTTCAATTCAAGGCCCTACTTATTGTCTACAAGTCACTCGGTGATTTGGGCCCAAAATACATCAGAGATACGTTTGCTGAGTACAAGCCTGGTAGTTTTCTCAGATCTACAGGGACTAGCCAGCTAGTGGTGCCCAGAGTTTGAACTAAACAGGGTGAGAGTGCTTTTAACCATTATGCTGCCCACAGCCCCACAGCTAGAACCAGCTTCCATTAGAACTTACATCTGCCCCAACTGGAGCCACTTTTAAAGCTAAGCTAAAAACTGCTCTTTTTTTCCACTGCTTTTAATTAATGTTTCTTAATTCCACCCAGTATTGCACTTTATCTATTTCATCCATTACCCAATGACCAACTGATTTCATTATGCTGTTTAGCTGACTGTATAGACACTTATGTTTCAAATCTTCTGGATGAAAGTACATCTGCATCTGGTGTAAACTCAGAGGGTTAGTCTTGGAAGTAAAGGGGTACAAGTATATTGAGAACAGTGAGAATCCACAGTTATACTAAAAGTACTAGTGCATGTTGCTACTTGTACTGTTGTAGTTTATCTAAATTGCATTCTACTGTTTTATCTATATGCTGTATGCTTTTTAATGTTTTATCCATCTATGTGCTCTTTGAATTGCCTTTGCATATGAAAATGTGCTATATAAATAAACCTACTACTACTACTACTACTACTACTACTACCACCACCAGCTGTTCCCGTTTATACAGTGAATCAACTGTTCGCTGTATACATTTGGCACGTGTTTTATGACGAATGCCGTTCCTGACGCAACCCAAATTGGGATAGCTATATAAATAAACCTGCCTTGCCAAGATGTAAGAGGATGCAAAGAACTCCATAAAAAAAATTAAAAAAAAATAAAATAACCACACAAGTCCAATTTTCAGAGATGAACACAGAGCAAGTGAAAGTAAGAGAGAGATACATTTTGTTGGATTCTTACATATGTGTTCACTAGTCACACTAAAACACACACACACACACATACTTGATGCTTCCCAGAGTGGAGGCGCGAGGACTCTTTTCTAGCACCAGCACAGCTTGGTCATGCTCCTTCAAACGCACCGTGTTGGCTTCCACATCCTAAAAAAAAATTCAATAAGATCCATGTACAAAATCATTTATATCAATGTCTGTCACATGAAACAATCTGATTTGGCTTTTTATTTTTTATGATTAATACTTTATTTTCTAATTATTTATACAACAAAGTTTAAAAAAAATAATTATTTGTACAGTTTATAATATGTACAGTATATCTTCTGAATATTTGTAAGTGTACATATCACAAAGGAACACCAAATATAAGGTAAAATGATGTATAATGTATATGGCTTTTAAGTGTAATACAGCTCCGCTGCCAGAGGAGGGAGCCAAATATGATTCACCACCTACATCATGTAGCGTGATGCTTAAGACAGCCCAAATGAATATATATATATTTTCCTTTCCCTTGTTTGATTTAGCAGCCACTCTGGGACTGTATATTGCTAATAACAGCATCTGTAACAGTTTGGAACAAAGAGGGTAATATGCTCAGACTTGAGATAAATGTCCAGCCCTTGACAATCTACCCTGAGTATCCTGTTGAAGTCTTCCTTGTCCACACGCAGGAAGTGGCAGTTATCCTCTCTCAGGACGATGGAGGCAGCACGAGGCGAATCCGTAACCAGGGCCAGCTTCCCAAAGTCATCCCCCTCATGGAGAGTACACACCACACCCTGAGAGATGGATGCAGATACATCATTGTATACATAAATCTCACAGCAAGATACAAGTTCAGACACAAACACAGTTTATTAGTCATCTTAGGCCCTGAAGAAAAAACACAGCAGAGCTGGAGAACTCAGGCCTAGACTATGCTTGTACTGTACATCTTCCTGTACACTGGTTGTGTTTTATGAACACAATCCCTTTAGCTGTTTAATCATAGTGATGAGTCATGGTGAGCTGTGAGGAGTCTGCCACACTCCACTGATGGGGTTTCCCAGCCCCACAGGGCACAATCTGCTGGTTAGCTCCACACACACGATGCGCTACGCATTTTAATCCATTATAGTACAAATGAAATATGAGCAAAGGAAGCTCGTGTGGCACACAAAGAGACTAAACATGTAGGTGGATGAATGCTTTTGAGTGCACACACCTTGCCATAGATAACCACATTGACAGAGCCCTTCTGGATGATGTACCATGAGGTGCCCTCCTCACCTTGGTTGAACACTGGAAGAAAAAGAGGACAAACACGTATATGACCAACACATGCTCTGTGCAGGTACTGTATTGAGTTGTACAGTTGCAGTTTTGTCTGGGAGGGAGTCCAAAGTGTCACACATTGAAAACCCCTGCAGTATAGTATAGTATGCACACACAAAAAATGCATTCTAGGACAAAGTAATGACTCACACACGGTTCCAGCTTTTGCATGTGACTCAAAAATCACAACACTCGCCAGTTCCCTCTTCACCTGAAAATCAGAACACACCACCATACTGGATTTAGGTACTGCAGAAATATGTGAGAGAACAGGAAAAATGCATTTCATGGGGTTTCTAGGAATGATATAAAGTGGCCTGTGAGACCTTACTGTCCATGGTGAACAGCAGTTAAATAAGTTTTGCCTCTTGATGACACACTTTTTAATTTTCTGCAATTTAGAAGGACAATGGGGGTCAGTGGGACTAAAAACGTATGAAAACATTCAAAAACTTAAACCCCAGCTAATTCCTGGAACTTGCTTCATGTAATTTACATGTCAACAATACTGCGACTGCATCTAATGCTTGTACATATAACATTTGTAGGAGGGACCTAGAGACTCTTCCACATGCTGAACCCTTGCCAACACAGGACAGACTGTGTGTAAAACTGTGTCCTATTACACTGGTAAGACATCAGCTGAAAGTGAAATTCTCCCTCCAGTCTTAAACACAAAAGGACTGTAGCAAGTGGCTCTGGTGAATTAGCTGCCTTCGTGGAAACCTGCACTGTCTCTTTAAAAGAGACGTAGACGAGCTGACTCACAGTGTTGGAGAGATGAGCTAAGGCCTTGATGTGAAGCAGCTCATCATAGATGATCTCTAGGTCATCCCCTGTCCTCTGACCAGGCCTACAGAAACACACAGAGGCTTGTCAGAACGAATTCACCATCAGGAGTTTATGCACACACACGTTCACCTCATATAACACTGCGGAAAAATCTGCAATGACACTAAAATAATGTCGCTCTTTTGAAAGCAGCCATTAGAGACGAATGGACAAATGACAGGAATGTATGTTACATATGCTGTTTTTGTGCTACATTTAGCTCTGTGAAAAAAAGTTAAGTATTTGGTTATTAATGAAAAGTAGCAGGAAGGAGAAATGATGAAGATGTATAATGAAATGCAATGTGTCGCCTGTGTAATAACTAATGCACTAATAGTGATCGTAACTGACGATTTCCTGAGGATCATGCGCAGCAGTGCGTCAGGGCCAATTTGAGCGAGAAAGAGGATGGTCTCTGGCAGCTCTTCCTCACTCTCCCTCTTCTCCTCCTCACTAGGTAATGGTGTGTCCTCCTCTTCATCATCAAGGAAGCGGTAGAACAAGTATTTGTCGTAGAAACCCACCTCCTGATCCACTGAAGAGGAGATGAGCACACACAGGTCAAAAGACATACAAGTGAAAAGACACAAACAAACCAACCGAGTTATTGTTTTTATTTTAGCAGTCAGTTGTTTTCTTATATCAGATCATAATTTCAATCATCATCTTTGAAGTGTAGGAATTTGAGACCGAGTCAACTTCCATAGTCTGAACAGCTGCATTGCAATTATAGTTTGAGAAGTGAGTGTGTCATGAGATCCGTGTAATGTATGGAAGTAACATAAACAGCATATAATATAATAAGAAAGCAATTTTTAAAAAAGCTCAAGTTTTAATTACCATGGTTTAGCACCCCTTCCTCTAGTAGTGCCTGCCACATCCCAACAGCATGGGACCGCGTGAGAACGCAGGCACTCTGCATAACCAGCCAGTCCACCAGTTCTGTGCCCACACAGCATTGTCTGAAATACCAGTACAAGAAAATGAAACACAGTAAAATTAAAACTAGCTACTGTGTTTTTATGAACCCCAAAGCTCTTGCATATACACATATCTTTGTAGTGTAGACAATCATACTCTAACCTGTACGTCTTTAGGTGGTACTTCCTGTCTCGAATCATGTGTGGAGCTCTGGACAGGATGGCATTGCGGAGAACCTTCCCTGCTCTCTGTAGCTTCTCTGAGGGAATCTACAAGAACGCAGAGTATTGGTTTGGAGAACTCAGTGTGAACTGTAATCCAAGAGACAATATTTGGAATCGTTCTGCTAACTCAGACATGCGACATACATTTGTACAACAGGTTGTACCAATTTGAAATCACATTTTAAAAAAGAAAATGATGCATTATTAGTTGATCCTGAAAATGGGCAACCTTAGTGAAATATTTAGTGTGCGCATTGACTAGTTGAATGACATGGATCCTAGCAACCGGACAAGTTGATTTTACAAAGTTACAGCTTCATCTGATGCACAATTCAAAACAAGACATTTATTGTACTATGGTGGAAAAATGCCACTAAGTGCACAAAAATACTGATCATTTTGATCATTAACAGTTTTGATTTGCACACGCTAGTGATGCATTGTAAATACGCATAATGGAGATTATGGTTGATGCTAGCAACATACAGTACAGCCCTCTTACCATTACAACTGCATCAAAATACACAACACATGCAAACAGATCACACCTCAGCCAGAAAAATGACAGATGTGTATATACACACACAGCTGCTGTTGAAAACAACAAAGGAAGGCATGATTATCAGACAGATGGGATCTTTCTTCTACGTGCATGCATTAGCCTGCATTAGCATAACTACAGAGGATCACAGCTGTGAGTCATCACTCGTCTCGTCTCAGAACACACACACACGCCTCCAAAATCCATTCTGGCATCTGATTCATTCGCAAACATAAAAGTATGCAGCAGCACTCGATTTGCTGACACTGTGGTCCGGTTCAATACGCTGTCTCAAATGTTTTTATCACAACATGTACCATGTCTTTTGTTTGTAAAGACAAGTAGCTCTTGATTTAAAAATTAACTTCAGCATTTTTCAAACACTACAGTCACTTACTTATTTGTCGGCTATATCAGACCCTCACTGCCCTGCCCACACAGATATCCTGACCCAAGCGGTGAGTCACAGAGAAGCCCAAAACTATTTTGGCCGTCTGGCCAAAGCAAACTGGTTGCAAGTTTGGTTCATTCACATTTTGTGTGAGGAACGACACAGCTCTCTGAAATGTGCTGGCAGGAGTTTATTTAGAGAATCAAGTCACTTGAACATGTGACCAGGAGGCATTTACCTTGTTGTGAGCTTTGTTTGTAGAGTCAGAGTTCGTGTTGTCTTTGTCTGCGAGTCCTGAAAGGGAGGAAAAAAATCATCAGGGATACTTTTATGTGTTGCAGTTTCTCATTCACAAATAAAAAATTTACCTGTGTACAGTATGCACTAAAACATATAGGGAAGCTTGACTGCAAAAAACAACTTGAAGCAAATGAGGCTTTGTATAATAACCTGAAAAGCAGGAGAACTCTAGACCAACAGTTTTATTATTCCAAAACATAAAAAATAGTTTTCATTGTCCCCAGTAGCTATTGGGTGGACATTCCTATGGAAGCCCAGTATTCATGTTAAATGACATTTTGACCCATCAGTGCACATCAGGCTGTGCTGCCATAAATGCAAATAGAGAAAATCCATGCTACATGTACAGTACTGTACAAAGGTTTTAGACCACCATTTAGATTTGTTGTTTTAGCAGTGTTATGATGACGATATCTATTTATTTATCAGAATACAACTGGAAAATATAGGAGAGATGTACACAGTATTAAAAACAAATGTTAGAAAAACTGGACACTCAAGACGTGGTATTCAAGCTGTTCTAAAGAAATATGAAGAATCCAGAGAGGTCAGGGACAAAACCAGGAGTGGAAGACCCAGAACACTGTCTGAATCTGATGAGAGGTTTCTCAGAGTTTATTCTTCGAGAGGCCGGAGGAAGTCCAGCAAAGAGCTGACTCAGCATCTGGCAGCTTCATCTGGACCCCACGTTGATCCTTCCACAGGCCGAAGAAGCTCGATCAGGAGCGGCCTTTGTGGAAGAACAGCAGCCAAGAAACCACTTGGACACAGAAAGGGGACAGGGAGAAAAGGCTGAGATACACAAAAGCTGGCAAAGATTGGAGTGAAGATCAGTGGAGTCTTATGGAGCGATGAATGGAAGTTTGAAATGTTCAGGTCCAGTCGTTGACAGTATGTGAGAAGAAGAGTTGGAGAGAGGAGGGAGAATGAGTGTAGCAGCCTTCAGTGAAACATGGTGGAGGTCTGTCATGGTTTCAAGACTTCAACTGTGCTAAGTGCAAAGGGAGGTCACACTAAATACTGACTTTGGACTGTAGAAGACAATTTATTCTGAAAATCTTGTTTGTTAATATTATGTACACATCTCCTGTAGTTTCTGGTTATATCTTAAATATAAATATATAAGCTATCATTCCAACCTTGCTAAAACAGCAGAACTAATGGTGGCCTAAGACTTTTGCCACAATACTATTCTTAATAGTTTTATGTACTTCTGGTATTTTTAAGTACAGCTATGTTCATCTCCATATTAGCAACATTTACAGTGGTTTCTCATTCTAATGTGTGCATTTGTGTGTCTACTCACTGTCGTTATTGGATCCACTCTCCATAGCTCCATAAGGAGGGGCCAAAAGTCCAGCCAGACTCTGACGGTACTTCTGCAACACACACAAGAATTAATTTCAGTCTTAAAAACATTTACACCTCTACTATTACGATGCATTTTTATTGACTGAACATCAAAACCTACATTTTCTAATACACAGTATTACTTTTAAACACACACCAACACACACACACACACACACACACTGCAAGTGGTGCTCAAAACAAAGCCCTTTGTACAAGCAAGATCATTTACATGCAGAACAACATTATATGGCACACACACACACCTCCCTGCAGTATTCAAGCCGGGGTTAAGGAGAACAGCCAAAGCTGCTAAATATGTACAGATGTTGTCCTTTAAGGACAAACTGTTTGCATTTATACTGCAGAGACACTGAAACACATACATCAGGTAACTTTAAGCTTGAACGTGCTACTGCTGTTCTGCAAGGTCATTACCAAGCAACCACTGCCTTCAGAGGACTGCCAGCAACACACACACACA